TCAACAATTAGAAAGAATTTCATTAGTTAGTTAACGAAATATTTGTTAAATAAATCATTTTAAAATAAAATTAATAATTAATAATTTATTTTAAAAATAATTATTTTTAAATTAAATTAAAATAAATCACATAACTAATAAACTATTTATTAAATTTATCCCTTCCCAAAACCACATGGAACTTTCATCTGAATATTTTAGTGAAATTTTGACCTCCACGTGAATGCAAATGGGACCATACAAATAAAGTAACGAAAGAAAATTTCACAATTATGCAATATGAAAGGAAAAATTAGAGAGAAAAAACCAAAAGGAAAGTGATCGCGTATCTTCTCTTTTTCCTCTTTTCCAGGATAAATAATTGCAAGAAATGGGGCTAATCAATTTACTAGTAGCTGTTATCTCATTATAAAAGTGGAGAAACATAGACCTCTCCTAACTCCTAAGCCATTTTTAACTCCACCAAGCAATTGAGCATATACACTTGTGTCCTCTTTTCCTTCTTCATCTCTATCATGGCAGCTAATGCAATTGTTTCAACTGTGCTGGAAAAATTGACTCCAACTGCTCTAGATAAACTAGAGAAAGAGGTCCAATGGGTTATCAATGTTCGTGAAGAAGTGGACAAGCTTAGAAGCAATTTTGGAGCCATCAAAGCCCTTCTAGAGCATGCAGAGCGACAGCAATTGGAAAGGGAAAAGGCCAGGGTTCGAGATTGGTTGGACAAGCTCAAGGAAGTCTCTTATGACATTAATGATGTATTGGATGAATGGAGCACTGCAAATCTAAGGTCAGAACTTGAACTAGAGTTGAAGGTATGTTCCTTCGAATTCATCCCCTCTCCTTCTTATTACTTTAATAGAATCATATTGCTACTCAAAACTGCACACAAGATACAAGCTTTGAGTAAGAGGCTGGATGTTATTGCAAATGAGAGAGAAAGGTATGGGTTTAGAGAGTTAAGTAGTAGTGAAATGCCAGAACGTAGGGAAACCACTTCTTTCATAGATGTAGCAGAGGTGATGGGTAGGGTTGAGGATAAGGAGAGGATAGTAAATATGTTGCTAAATGAGGGTAGAATTGAAGAAATAGGATCAAAACTTCAAATGATCTCCTTGGTAGGCATTGGGGGGATTGGGAAGACTACCCTTGCTAGACTAGCCTTTAATAATGAAGAAGTAAAGTCTCATTTTGAAGCAAAAATATGGGTGTGTGTTTCTGATACTTTCAATGAGATGAAAATTGCCAAAGATATTCTTAAATTTGTGATTGGTAATGCTGATAAGGATGTTATTGAGAAATTGCATAAATTGAATTCTGATGTTGAAAAAATGGATAAATTGAGGGATGCTATTGTAGAAATGGAGAAGTTGAGGGATACTATTGAAAGGTTAGACAAATTGGAGGATGTATTGCGATACCTTAAAACCTCAATCAAGGGTAAGAAATTCCTCCTTGTCCTAGATGATGTGTGGACTGAAGAGTATGGAAAGTGGGATCAATTGAAACACTTGTTGTTGAGTAATGGTTCCCAAGGAAGCAAGATCTTAGTGACCACCCGTAAGGAGAAAGTAGCGATAAGCATGGGCTGCGAATTGTTCAAAGTGGGACAGTTATCTGGAGAAGAAGGTTGGTCATTGTTTAGTCAAATTGCTTTTTTTGGGAGGTCTAATGATGATTGTAGAAGTTTGGAAGAAATTGCTAGAGAAATTGCAAAAAAGTGCAAAGGCTTGCCACTTGCTTTGAAGACATTAGGTGGCCTTATGCGTTGGAAAAAAAGCATAACAGAATGGCAAAGTGTGTTAAAAAGTGAAGTATGGGAACTTGAAGAGGCTGAACAAGGTCTTTTCCACTCCTTAATGTTTAGTTATTTTGATTTACCACCACACTTGAGGCAGTGTTTCTCATATTGTGCAATCTTTCCAAAAGACTATGTGATAGAGAAAAAAATGTTAATCGAGTTATGGATGGCACAAGGTTTTCTCAAGGGGACTCAAGATATGGAGATGGTAGGGGAAAACAACTTTAATGACCTATCAATGCGCTTCTTATTTCAAGATTTTGAAATGGATGAAAATGGTGGCATTATCAAGTGCAAAATGCATGACATGGTGCATGATTTTGCTATGTTTCTTACTAGAGGTGAGTGTTTGACAATGGGAAGTAGTAGCAGCATTCAATGTTTCAATGGCAAAACTCGTCATTTGTTTTTGATGATGCAAACAGAAGAGACTACTGCAATTCAGACTTGCACTAAAAACTTGCACACTTTGCTTATTGAGTCAAATGGAAGAAATCCTATTTCTCATATTGAATTATTTGAATTGTTTGATAAGCTTAAATGTCTCAGGATATTGAAATGTTCAGATTCTAGAATTAAAAAGTGTCCAAAACAAATAGGCAAATTGATACATTTGAGGCATCTTGACTTGTCAAAAAATGAGGAGTTAAAGGAATTGCCTGAGGCTGTGTGTGACTTGTATAATTTGCTTATACTAGCCATTAGTGGATGTTACAGACTTAAAAGACTTCCTCATAGAATGGGAAATCTTATCAACTTGTTGCATCTTCGGAATGAGAGGACAGCTTTGAAATTCATGCCTAAAGGTTTGGAGAAATTGACTAGTTTGAAAACATTGAATGTGTTTGTGGTAACTCATAAAGGAGCTGCACTAAGTGATTTGGCAAACTTGAATCATCTTCGTGGGAGTCTTAGCATAGGAGGATTGGGAAGTGTTAGAGATCAGAGGGAAGTAGAAAAGGTGCAACTACAAAATAAGAAGGGGATTACTAATTTGACTCTAAAATTTGATCTCAATGGTTTGCCAGTGAGCCAAGCTAATGAATCACCAAGTATTGTTTTTGAAGCCTTAAAGCCACCTTCAGATTTGGAAACATTAGAATTAAATGGTTATCAAAGCACATTCTCTTTTATTCAGCCCAGTTGGATGGTGTCTTTAACCAAGCTGAAGGAACTT